CGGTGCCGTCCGGCGCGCAGGGCAGTCGCGCTGGAGCCGCGGCGGGCCGGGACTCGCCCCGGGGCCTGCGGGGGCCGCCCGCGCCGCCCGCCCTGCCTGCTGCCCGCGCCCCCTCGGGAGCTCCAGCTTCCAGCGGGCAGGGGCTGGTTTGCTGGGCGGCCGGCGGACGTCGGAAGAGCGCGCAGCCGCCCCGCCCCGCGGGCGCCTCCCCGTGCGCGCGGACCGGACCGGACCGGCCCGCCCCGTGCCCGCGCCCGCCCCTGCCCCACGCCTCTGCCCTCCCTCCCCGCCAGGTACTCGAACGCCTTCATCTTCCACCTGATCTACAAGGCGTCTGCCGGCGGCCACCGGCAGGCCGCCGCCCCCGCCGCGCAGCCCCTCCCCGCCAGCGGGACCCCCGAGCCGCCGGAAGCAGCGCGCAGCCGGCGCAAGGAGAAAAAGCAGACCCGCGCGGCCGGGCGCCGGCGCAAGTGAGCGTGAATAAACCGCTGTGCCCCGCTCGTGCGTCCTGCGCGTTTCCTTCCCGCCTGGCCTGCGCGGCCCCGGGAGGGGCCCTGCCCTGCCCTTGCAATGCCGTGGCCCAGCCCAGTAGGGTGAAGCAGAGAAGCCTCTGGGCATGTGCAGAGAGCACACCCTCCCCCTCCAGCCCATGCACATCAGAGGTGAGGCACGCGGGGCCACTGGCCAGTGCGGCTTCCGGGGGGGACAAAGCCAACCTCCAGCAGGGCAGGAGCCCCCACAGCCCCTGCCCCCACCCGTGGGAGCTCCCCACAGCACTCCCCACAGAGACGAGCCGCTCGCACCTTTCCCCACAGCTTTTCCCCACAGGCCGCGAGGCCTGCCAGGAGCAGCCGGAGGCCAGAGTGACCGCCCGGCAGTGTCCCGGGAGGCCCTCCACCCCACGCCACCCACCAACCGCCACCCCCAGGGGCCCAGCGGACGCAGCCCACGGGCCTGGGATCAGCGACACCGGAGGAGCCCTGGCCCCACGGGCGGGCAGGCGGGCCTGGCTGAGCCCTCGCAGGAACCGGGTCGGCCCGTGGGGCAGCAGCCAGGGCAGTCCTGGGGTGGGCAGCGGGGCAGGGGCAACAGGCCCCCCCCCCCGGACTCCGTGTGCACCAGCTGCGGGGCCTCCAGGCGTCCTGAGTGCAGGAAGGCGGGTGTCCCCTCTGCCCGGGGTCCGTGGGCCAGCTCCGGGCAGCACCAAGCTGCAGGCCAGCAGGACGGCGAGCACCGGGCGAGGGCCTAGGGACCGGGGGCGCTGGCATGCCCGGGGGGAGGAGCAGGGCTGCGACCACCTTGGGGGGCTGCTCACGGAGATGATGCGAGACCCTCCCCGAGGATGCCGGCCAGGGGCTTGGCGCTAGGAAGGCCTGGCGGCTCAGCAGTGCCGGGTGGGGGAGCCGTCGGAGGCCCCCCAAGCGTTGCATCAGCGGGGAGCGCTGGACCAGGGGACCCCGGAGAGCCTGCCCAGTCTGTGGGTCCAGGACGAGCAGCTGCGATGCCGTCGGTGGGAGGCGGCCAGTCCTGGGGCCAGATCGCCCGGCCAGACCCGTGCCCAGCAGCCCCCGGGGAAGGCCACGTGGGGCAGCAGGGGGTGGAGTGGGGAGCGGCGGGGAGCGGACCTGGCAGGGTGACTCAGGCCGTTGTGCCTTTTCCCCCCAACCAGGGGCCACCTTGGGGCGAGGGTGACCCTGGAGCAGCCGTTCCGCAGCCGGGCCCCTTTCCCTGGGCGGGGAGGGAGCAGGTGCCCCGTGCCTCCCTCCGCGGAAGAGCCACAGGACGTGAGGGGAGGGCTCTTGGGATCGGGGCCTGTCCCTGGAGCAGCGTGGCCGCCCCCTTCCCCCGGAGCAAACCACACGGAGAGGGCCAGCAGCTCCTCTGCCCCATGTCCCTCTGCCCCCCCACGCATGCGCAGCGCACGGACAGGCGGCCTCCCCTACCACCACGACTGCCCCCCTCTCAGCAGGCCGGGAAGCGGCAGCTCCAGAGCAGGAGGGCGTGTGTTCCCGGGAAGGCTGGCAGAGATGAGCCCCTGAGCAGAGGGGACAAAGCAGGCACTGCTGCGCGTGACCCCAAGCACCTGACACGGAGCGTGGCACCGTGGCCAACGCAGGGAGGTGACGGCTGCCCCATCTCCTGCCACGGGACCGTCATCAGGTGGCCCCCGCAGAGGCGGAGAGGCACGCTCGGCCCCAAGGGGAGGCAGGCCAGCGAGGGGCATCCGGAGCCGGCCAGGAAGGAGCTCCCCGGAAGCGGGCGGCCGTCCCGCCCTGCCCCGTGGCCTTTCCCTGGTGCTGGGAGCCTTCCCTCCGCAGGCCACCAGCCGTGGGCCTGCCTCACGTGGCGGAGAAGGGTGGGAGGAGGCTGGCATGGCGGGGGGGGGGGAGTGCCGCATCTCTCCAGCCCTTTGCCCGGCTTATCTCTGAGCAAACAGGCTGCCTGCACCACCGCGCCAGCCAGTCCCTCGCCACCCCGGCTGCGCCGCCGCCGCCATGTGCACGGGCAAGTGCTCGCGGCTGGTGGGCCTGACCCTGGTGACCGCGGCGCTGGCCTGCATGGTGGCCAACGTCCTCCTGATGTTCCCCAACGGGGAGGCGACGTGGGTGCCAGACAAAATCACCCTGCAGGTGTGGCTGATGGCCGGCCTCATCGGGGGCGGCCTGATGGTGAGTGGCGCGCCGTGCCGTGCCCTGGGGCCGTGGCCGCGGGGCAGCCGGGGACGCAGCCCGGCAGGGGCGTCTCCTGCTGTGGCGGAGGGGCAGGGGGTTCGGTGGCACGTGTCTGCCCCGGGCACGGTGCCACCGGGAGGGGCCTGCGGGAGGAACCCCCTCGGAGCCGGCTGGGGGCCTGGGAAGGGCTCCCGCACAGGCCGGCTGGCAGGGCGCTGTGGCAGGTGGCCGTGGCTCTTCCCTGCTGCACAAGCGGCTTGGCTCGCTCCTCTGAGCCGCAGGGTGTGCGGGCTGTGGCCCCGCTGAGCCCCCTCCTGGCCCGCGGCCCTGGGAGGCGCCCGTCGGGCCTGCCAGGAGCCCCTGCCCCGCGCGCCAGGCGAGTGGGCTGGGCGAGGCGTTCCTGAGCAGGGGGCTCCGAGGGGCTGGTCGGTGGCTCGAGGCTCTCGGCGGGCAGTGGCCTCTGCCCGGGGAGGAAGGTCGCTCGCCGCGGGCACCGGGGCGCCCCCTCCGGCTCTGCCCGGCCCGTCCTCGCCAGCCGCCCCGGAAGGACGTGGCCCCTCCCGCCGCGCCTCCCCGCGGACTTTGAGCCGCCGCGCCCGCCGCCTGTGCCGGGCGGCGCGGGGCAGCGGTGGGGGGAGGCGGACACCGGGGCGGGAAGGGAGGCGCTTCCCGGGCGCTCCAGAGCAGCCCTCCCCGGCGGGCCCAGCCCCCGGGGAGGAGGGGGCTGCGAAGGCCGGCGCGCCCCGAGGGGCTGCGGGGCGCCTCCTTCCCGAGGCCGGCCGAGGCGCACCGGCCGGGCGAGGGCCGGGCGGCGCCCCTTCCCGTCGGGCCGGCCCGGCCCGCTCGCCCGGCGCTCACCGCCGCTCGGCTTCTCCCGCAGGTCCTCTGCACCGGCTGCTCGGCAGTGCGGGCCGGCGGGAAGGGCTGCTGCGGATACGGATGCTGCGGGAACCGATGCCGGGTACGGACGCGGCGGCGCGGGCGGGGCGGGGGCGCTGCGTGGCCGGCCGGCCGGCCCTCCCTCCCCGCGTTGCAGCGCCCCCACGGGGCGGGGCGGGGCGAGGCGTGGCGGGGCGCGGGGGGTAGCTCGCCTGCGGGAGCGATGCCGGCTCTGCCCTGCTCTGCTGTGCGCCGGGAACAGATTCAGGCTTGGGCTAGGAGGATGCCCGCCGAAATGGCCGGGACGCAAACCGGACCGAGCCGGGCTGACCTGAAGCCCCAGAGAGTTCAGGGACCTCTTCCGAGTTCGAGCGCACCTGGATCCAACAGGCTGGGGCCAAATTCGGACCGTTTTTCGCTTTGTAGGTCTTTGCTTAGTTCCTCGCATGTCTTAGTGCCCACCCAGTCTGTGCGCAGCAGACATCAGGGCGGTTTTAAAGCGAACACCGGAGGTTCTGGGGCTCATGCCGTGTCTCTGCCCTGAAGGAGCCCCCACCACAGTCCAGGCTTCCCATTTCTTCTGAAACGCTTTCTGCGCATGTTCAGAGGCTGTGCCTTGGCCGGCGTCATGCAGCACAGCTCACACGGCCGGCTGCAGTGGCTCGGGGCCCCAGGGTGCAACTTCAACATTCAGAGCGAGTTGGGGGCTTGGGGCCAAGCCCCTGCGAGGGGGCGCCCCCCTCCCGCCTGCATGGCCGTCCGTGGAGCTCGTGCGTCGAGGCCCCTTGCTAAGCCGGCACGGCGTGGGCCTGCGGCCGGAGGGGTGACACATGCGGAAGCGGAGCGGGAGCTCGGATCCCGTGGCCAAGAGCCCCACCCCCCGGCTCTGCAGCGATTCGGCTCCCCTCTCCTCGCCCGCGGTGGGGAGAGCCTCCAGCCCGGGGCTCGCAGGGCAAGGAGTCCCAGCCGCAGGGGGGCGCCAAGGGGCTGGGCGGGGCGCCTCCTCCTCACCCCCCGCCCTGCCCCGCTGCAGATGCTCCGCTCCGTGTGCTGCTCCGCCTTTGGGGGCCTGGGGGCCTTCTACTGCGTGACCGTCTCCTCCACGGCCCTGGCCGACGGGCCCTACTGCCAGATGCTGGACGGCAGCTGGGGGTCGCCCTTCAAGGAGCTCAGGTGAGCCGGACCCTCGTCCGTCCTTGCAGCACGGCTCCTTGCGGCCCAGCCCCCCCCCCCGCATTTCCTGCCCTGCCCACCCCGACTGCGGCCGGGGGAGGGGCCGGCGCCAAGCGGGGCCGGGGAGAGGCCTCCCGCACCCCAGCCCCAGCCCCGCCAGTGACGTGTCTCTTCCCCAGCCACAGCTACCTGCGCAACCAGTCGCTGTGGGACTGGTGCACGGCCCCCCCCAAGATCGCGCTCTGGCACATCGTGCTGTTCTCCATCCTGCTGGGCCTGGGGCTGCTGGAGCTGGTGCTGTGCGGCATCCAGGTGGTGAACGGCCTGCTGGGGACCCTGTGTGGGGACTGCCGCAAGGCGGCCGACCGCGAGGTGAGGGCCGGGAGGGGGTGGCGAGAGCCGGGAGGGCTGGGAGGGCCGGGAGGGGGTGGCTAGAGCCCCCGGGGCGTCTCCACGTGGCCTGCAGAAACCGGCAGGCCTCGTGAGCGTGGAGCCGGGGTGGTGGGCGGAGCAAGCCACCGGTCTGGACCGAAGGCGAGCTGGACTTTCCCACGAAGGGGCTGAGCGGCAGATCCGTGAAACGTGGCGGCCGCTTGTGCCTCCCTCCTGGGCAAAGGTGGCCACCCGACCTCACCGGTTCCCTTCCCCTGCTCTGGCAGCACCTGCCACACGGCCTGCAAACTGCTGTTGGAGCCCCCCCCCCCATGAGCTGTGGTGTTCATGAACCCTCCGTGGCATCCCGGCAGGCTCACGGGAGCCCCACAGGGTGGGCTTCCGCCCCCCTCCGGCTTCCGGGCCGTGCGGGCCGCTCACGCTCGCTCTGGCTTCTCTGTAGGGCGAAGGTCTCTGAAGCTGAGGAGCGACCAGCTGGACCACGTGCCACGCACACACCGAGGAACACTCCCGCCAGGCTCCCCATCCCCGTGGCCAGCGCGCGTGGCCCGCCCAGACGTCGTGGCAGCCACTGACAGCACTGACCCCAAATAAAGACAGACCCTTCGCCCTGCAGCCAAGGCCCCGGAGGCTCCTTTGCGGAAGGGGCTGGGCGGTGGGGCCGGATCCGGGGCTGCCTGCGCGAGGCCCTGCCGCGAGGCAGAGAGGGGCTTGGGCCGGACGGGCGCTCGAGCAGCCAGGCTGAGCGGGGGGCCCCCTCACGGCACTGCTCAGGAGCCCCTCTGCGTCGGGAGCCCCTTTCCCCGCAGGTGGGATGCTCCGAGCGGCCCCCGCGGCGGGCGCTGACCTCCTCGCAGGGGCAGGCCGCGTGCCCCCGGGGTCCGGGGGCTGCCGCGTGGCCGGGGGCTCCGTGCTCTGTGCGGTGCAGGGAGGCCCGGTGAGCCCCGGCCGCCTCGCCCAGCCCCGTCCTGGGAGAAGGGGCCGCACGTGCCGCCAAGGCGAGATGAGCAGGGGCGCGGCAGGAGAGCTCTGCCACGACCGGGCCACGGGCTCCTGCGCAGGGGGGCCTCTCCTGCCCACCTCGCCGCGTCCTCGGAGCGCACCAGTGCGCGTGGCGGGGGCCCCGCGGCCTCGCCCAAGCGCCCCCGACCCAGTCCCTCAGCCAGCAGCCCTGCGCGCACTTGGCGGGCCTGGGAACGGGGCGGGGGGGCATCCTCTTACTGATCACTGACTGATCAAAGCGCGGAAGGCAGTGGCGCTTCCTCCCGAGGGAGGGCCCCCCGAGGGTCTCCATTCGGACGGATGCTCTTCGGCTTACTCATTAATCATCTGGGACCAGAAGTGAGGAATGAAGGGGGACCTGTGCAGCCCCTGCGCTGGGCTGGAGAGCCCCAGCCACGAGGACACAGAGCCGGCCCGGCCCCGGTGCCCAGGTGCCCTCACTCGCCCGCTGCGCCAAGCAGCTTGTGCCGAGCCTGGTGCGCCTCGCTGCAGGGGCCACGAGGGCCACGGTGCTCCTGGCCACTTTCCCGGCAGGGAGTCCACACGGCTGCGGCGCCCACAGGGCCCCGCGTGGCATCTGGCAGCCCTGTGGGAGGGGCCGCCTCACGTGTCCGTGGCTGCGCAGCGTGGCACACGCTGGGGGAAGCGGCATCCTGCTGCCGGCCCGGGACCGGGGCCACGGGCCCTGAGCGAAGCAGATGGGGCGGCTGGAATGGGGGCCCTGGCAGGGGGGACAAGGCATGGGGCCAGAGGGGGCAGAAGACATCTTAGCCGCCCGGGCGCTCAGCAGCGGAAACGACGTGGCCAGGCCGGGCGGGCCCGGGCCGAAGCTGCCTCCAGCCGGGCGGGCGGGCGGCCTTTGCCAGGGGCCTGGGCCCCTGCAGCCGGCGTGGCCCTCGCAGCAGCCGGTCCTGGAGGCGCCTCGGAGGGAGACCCGGGCCCAGGAAGGGGCAGGAAATCAGCAGAGATGAGCGGGGGGCCGGGGGGGGGGCTCAGCTGCAACGTGCACATTTAGCCTAAACCCAGACTCAGGAAAGCAGGAGAGGTGATCACCGCGTTTAATGAGCGCACGCGTGTGGGACGGAACCGGCGCCTCCCAGACCACGTCTGCGGTTTCGTGGCTCCAGAACTGATTTGGTCATAGGCACGGGTTGTCATCCCCAGCCTGGAGTGCTCGGGGGCCTCGTGATGGAGGAGAAAGTGGGAAGTAGCGAAATGCGGCCGCGGTGCGGAAGCGGGTCTTTCCGCCATGCCCGCCACGTGCACCCAGTCCTGCGAAAGGGCTGGGCGTCCCCTCGCCCTGCGTGACTCGTGCAGCAGCTGGTCGTGGAACCGACCGGAGGGGGGCAATCCGGGTTCAGTCTTGGCCGGGCAGCCCGGGACACGGCTGGGCAGACGGGGAGCGGCGATCACGGGCCGTCAGGCTTGAAGTGTCGGGAGCTGCCCCGCATTTCCTTCTGCCCGTCAAAGGCAAGCCTTTGATGGAAACCCGGCCGATTATGGAACGGTGCGACCTCTAAGGTCCTCTGCTAAAGTTGAGGAAGACGCATCTGCCCATGCAAAGAGTGTGATCCCAGTGACTGCCTCCCCCCCATCCGGCCCTGTGTTCCAAGGTCTGACCCCACCCCTGGGCGGGTCAGCCGGAGTCAGGGAACCACGGAAGGGCAGAGCTGGAAGGGGCCAGAAGGCCTCCGGGCCCAGTCCTCTCTCTTGCAGGACACTACCGGATGCTTCCATTAATACAGCCTGAAGTAGGTGCGGTAGCCCATGTGCCTTTACTCTGGCGGCTGGGGAACATGGGCCAAGAGGGCTGTCGTGGCCCTGCCGTGCTCATGGGCTCTTGCAGGCAGACGGTTGGAAGGTGGGACTAGCTGCCCCCTGGTCCAATCCTGCCTCTCGTGTCCTGATGCGCCCGAGAGGAGCCCGGGCTGGTAGCCGGTGCGGCGCCCGGAGGTGCGAGAGCCCCCATCCGCCTGCGCGGGGGGAGGCAGGCCGTCCCTGCGTCTGGCCCGCATCCCGCCACCCAGCTGCCCGGGCCCCCGCGGGCTCCGGCACGGCTCGCTTCTGCGCACGAGGCCGCCTCTGCACGTCCTTCCCCTTTTTCTACGCTGGAACTCCCCAGATGCGCAACCCTCCGGCGTGGGCCATCTCCTGCCCTTCCCGGCACTGCCCCCCCCCCCCCCGACAAAGGCTCCTTTCCCGGCGGACCCGAGTGCGCTCGGCACAGAGCATCCAGGGGGCTGGCCAGTCCCCAGCCAGAGCCAGAGGCAAGGCTAGGCGCCGCCTCCCAGCCCCAGCCTGGGGCGTGTGCTTTGCAAGGCGGAAGCGAGACTCCGTGGAGAAGCTGGCTGCCGAGTCACGTGCGTCCGCCGTGTCCCCTCCGGGCCTTTGGGCCGCCAGCAGGAACGCCTCCAAGGCCGTCTCGGGCACGCCCGCCACCGGCCGTGGCCGCCTTCTGCGGCTCAGGCCGAGCCCCCGTGGCTCCGTGGCGCCTCCCACCCGCTGGGGTGAGGAAGGGGCCTCGGGGCGGCCCTCGCTCTTGCTGGCCTGTACGTGCTCCACGCGCCCAGCCCGGCCCGGCCCGGCCCTGCCCAGTGGCCTCCGGGCCGCTTGTCTGGCGCCGGGCCAAAGGTCTCCCCACGAGTCAATGATTGACCGGCTGCCGCCAGCTGCTCGCGCTGCGTTGCCTCCCCGAAGAGGGGCCCACTGAGCCCCCTCGCCCGGCTGCCCTCCCGAGCAGAGGTCGGCCAAGGGGTGCCGCCCGCCGCTCCAAGGTCTCTGGCTGGCCGGGCCTGTCGGGGCCGGGCCGGGCCGGCGGCGGAGCAGGACGGACCCCCACGGGTCCGGCCACGGCCTTCCTGCACTGCCCGGCCCATGGCGGGGTGCGCCGCTTCGCTCTCCCACCCCGGCCGACGTGGGGCCGGAGCTCTGCGCCGGCAGCTCTTCTGTCGAGCTCTGGAAAAGCGGGGCTGCTTGTGGCTACACGGGGGAGAAGCAAAAGCACTCTGGATATGCTCAGGGGCAGCCTGCCTCCCTGTGGGTCGCACACAGAGGTGGCCTTGCGCCGTGGAACCGGGCTCAGGAGGCAGAGTGTCTCCTGCCCAGTCCGTCTCCAGTGCGTAAGGTGGACCAAAGCATTCTGCACAGGCACAGAGGCACCCTCTTCTCAGCAGGGGCGCTGCGCGTTCCAGATAAGGCCGCACGTGAGAGACGGGTGCTGGGGCCTGAGCCCCCACGCCCAGGCCGTTCCCCACACAAGCCCAGCCTCCTCCCTCCTGATACGCAGCGCTTATCTCCTGCTGCGCACAGCACAGCACCTGGCCAGGCGCGGGGAGGGTCCGGCCAGGAGTGCGGAAGGCCCGGCATGGGGGCGCTCGCTCGGGTCCCCCCGCGGCTCTGGCGCCTGCTGCTCCCGGCCGGCCTCTTCCTCTCGCTGCTCTACTTCTCCAGCCGGCACCTCCGTAAGTCGCGGGTTGGGGGCGGCCCCCCTGCCTGGGCACGCACGGCCCTGGCCTCGCCTGCCTCCCCTGCCCACGGGACCAAAGGGCCTCAGGCTCGCCCGCCTGGCCGGGGCAGGGGGCACAGGGCCCGTGGGAGCCGTGGGCGGGGGGCTGGGCCGGGCCACTCGGGGCCCCGGGCCCTGCCGTGGGTGGCCGGCCCGGGGTGGGCACGGCTGGCGCTCCGGGTGCCCCCGAGAGGGACCCCACCTGCCGCTGGGCATGGATGCGGCTCTTCCCACCGCGCCCGGCCGGTCCGGGGCTTCGGCAGACTTGGGCGCCCACCCTGCCCGCTGAGCTTCCGGCTCGCACGCCGAGACCCCCGCACGTTCCAGCGACATCGCCCTGCCGCCCTCTGTCCAGGCCGGCTTCTAGAGCATGCCTGGGGGTTTGCGAATCCACCCAGGGTGAGCGCGCTTCCCTTGTGGAGGGTGGCGGCAGGATTTGCGACGAGGGCGCACCACACACACGCGCTGTGTGTTTGACCCGACCCTGGGTCGCAGGTTTGAGTGACCCTGAGAAGTCGGGAAGCCCGGCCCAGGTTAAGAGCCCAGATTGGAAGGGCAAACAAACTACCCCGGGCTCGGCCAGCAGGCGGCTTCCCGGTGCCTAGCGTGAAGCTGGCCACACGTGCCAAGGAGTCGGGCTGTTGCGCAGAGACTGGGCCCCCTGGCCCCGTCGGCAAGCCCAGTGGGCCCCACACGCAGCTTCCCTGTGCCGGGCGCTTCGGGACACGGCATTTCCGCACCCGCGAGGCTTTCCCTCAACCTCAGTCAGGAGACTCACGGCACGGGATGGCATGAGCTAAGCATAGCGCGAGGCGTGACCTCGTCAGGCTAATTGTAACACCCAGCGGAAGCTCATTAACGGGTCCGGTGAGGGGGGATCCCAGGCCAAGCACAGGTGGGTGGAGGGCCTTTGGCCATCTCTCCGGGGTTTGGCAAACAGCGCCTGGCGAGCTGAGCGAGAGGCGGCTCGAGGGCAGTGCTTTGGCTTGGGCCAAGCAAGGCTGGCTGCTTTCCGAGGCTGGAGACCCAGGCGCCGAGTCCCCCGGCTCCGGGTCAGTGCAAGGGCTCCTGCAGCCCTCCGCCCCTCTGTGGGGGGCAGCAACATCGCCGTGCTGGAAGCAGGCAGGCGCCACCGGCCGACCCACCTGCAGGGAGCCGGGCTGGGGAGGGGAGCGTGGGGCTGCAGCAGGCCAAGCAGGCGTCCCGGCTCCCTCTGGGTGTGGATGCCGTGCCATCCGGCATCTGGGGGGCTGCCTGGGCCGCCCATTTGCCCCCCGCGCTCTACACCCCACATGCCCGGCTCCACATGTCTGACCTGCCCCCTCTCCCTCTGCTGAAGCAGATCTCCCGCTCTCCACGTGCCTCTGGGGCAGCCGTCCCTGCCACTGGTCTGCGGAGAGGCTGGCCAGCACGGAGGATCCGGAGGAGGTGAGTCCCTGAGCGGGGCTGCAACGAGGCCCTGCGCCCCTCTGGAGCGCCAGACCGAAGCACGGAGTCTGACATGGCTGGGCTGTGCTCTGGGGAGAGGTGCGGATCTTGCCCCCGCTGCAGCGTGAGAGCTGGGGCAGCCCAAGGGCTGGGGGGCAGTGCTCGGGTGCCCGCTCCCACCTGGCAGTGAAGCCCCCTTGCTCTCCGCTCAGCCCGTCCGGCCCCTTTCCGTAGTTCTGTGAGTACCACAAGAGCGCGGCACCTCAGGCCCAGGCCAATTCCAGCCCCTGGGGCCCGGAGACGGCCATGGCCCCTTCCCCGGCCTCCGCCCTCGCCCGACCAGCAGCTCCTCGGTGCCGCCTCACCGCGAGCGGCTTCGCCCCTTGCAAGCGACGCCGAGCCCACGGTGACCCCTTCTTGTACTCTGCTCACAGCCCACTCCTGCATGTGCCCTCGCAAAGACCCCCGAGGCATCCCTCCAGCCGGTCCCCAGCCCACAGGCCTGGGGCCAGGAGTTCCGCATCGAGCGCCTGCTGAACGCTTTCTCCGCCAGCATCACGCCCAGCGGGCAAATCCTCCTCCGGGAGTACCTCCGCGGCTGGGGAGAGCTGATCAGGTGAGCAAGGAGCCGGCCCCTGCCGCGGGACGTGCCGCAGAGCGGGGTGCCAGGGAGACGTGTGGCCCGGCGGAGGCGAGGCGGTGCGCCGCTGGGCGGCGGGCCCTCCCGTGGCGAGCCTCTGGGCGACACAGGGGAGCCCCCACTCCCCCCCGGAGCCGCCCGTCCCCCAGCGGAGACCCAGCTGCTGCCGGCCTCCCCCGAGGATGGCGCCCGTCCGTGGGCCCGGCAGCCCGAGCCGCCCACTCCCGGGGGGGGAAGGGCCCCGTGCCGGCGGGAGGCCGTTCCTGCAGCACATCGGTCTCTGCTCCCCACAGGTTCATGGACTCCCTGGGCGCAGCCTTCGGCCCCATCGCCCAGGAGACCCGCTCCAAGGTGGCCACCATGCAGCTGCACCTCGGCGGGCGGCACGGCGCCCACTACCGCACCGTGCAGGCCATGGCGGCCTTCGAGCTGGCCCGGGGGCTGGTGGGCTTCCGCTCGCTGCCGCCCACCCAGCCGCCCTCGGGCTGCCGGACGCTGCTGCGCCTGCACCGCGCCCTGAAGTGGCTGGAGCGCTTCCTGCACCGGCTGGGCAGCAGCGAGGCGGGCGGGCCGCCGCCGTCGCAGCTGTGCGCCGAGGCCTACCGCGAGGCGCTGGCCCCGCACCACAGCTGGTGGGTGCGGCGGGTGGCGGCGCTGGCCTTCCTGGCCATGCCCCCCCGCCGGGAGCTCCTCCGCGTCCTCACGGCCCGGGAGGAGGAGCGCGAGGCGCGCGCCGCGCTCCGGGCCGCCGTCCGCAGCATCGCCCGCGTGCACGCCGCCACGCAGGCCGAGTTCGCCGCGCACCGGATGCTGGAGCTGCCCTGAGGCCGCCGCGCCGGCCCCCGGGAGCCACGGGCCGCCCGCCGAGACTGGAGCCGGCGCCTCGACGGGCCCCGCCGCGCCCACGTGTCAGGCCGCGCGGAGCGGCGAATTAAAGCCTGCGGCCCGCGCCGCCCCGTGGCCCTTGTCGAGTGGTTCCTGCGCGCCGGGGAGCGGAGGCCCGTCCCGCCCGCGGCCGCGGGGGGCAGCCGCGCGCCCCCAGCCCGCCCCGCTGCAGGGCGAGGGTGCGAGGCGCCCCGCTGCCCAGGGGGGGGCTCGGGGGTCGCGCGCCCGAGCGCCGGGGCTGCGGGCGGGAAGGCGAGCGCCGAGAGGGGGCGGGGCTGCTGCCGCGGCACGTGCGCCCGCCGGCGGAGTCTGGGGCCGGCGCTCCCCGGCAGACGAGGGACCCGGGAGCGCCCCCGCAGACGAGGCCAGCGCCGCTCTACCCTTTGCGAGGTCTGCGGGCCGCGGAGTCGGGCGATGGCGCGAGCCGTGGAAACCTGCGGGCGGGGCGAGGAGCGGGCCAAAGAGATAGAAAGATGCAGAGCGATGGGCTCCTCATCCGCTGGGCTACTCTGAGCCCCGTCGGGAGTCCGCGGGGCGGGGGTCGGGGCGCTGGGCCGCGGGGCTCTGTTAGCAGGCGAGGGCGGAGCCGGTAGACTCGCCTCCCGGGAGTGAAGCCGAGCGGCCCTGCGGTGGCACGGGGGGCACGGGGCACGCACGGGCCCCCGCGGCGGATTCCGTCCCCGCCAGGCCAGAGGTGCTGCTCCGGGACGGCAGCCCCGCACCGCGCGGGAACCCGACGCCGCCTGCCGCTTCCCCGCACGCGCGAGGACGGCGCCCCTGGCGGCGCCGATGGCCAGTCGCTCGCGGCCGGCCTTCCTCGCAGGGTTGCTGTGCGAGGAGGCGCAGGGCGGAGGAGACTCGCTCGAGCCGCTTCGGCTTCGCGGGAAAAGACGCGGCGAACGGGCCCGGAGCGACGCCGCGGCGGCTGCGTTCCCCCTTTGCACGGCACGCCCGATGCGCGCCGCCCGCACGAGCCCGGGACCGTCGGGCGGGGCGGGGCTGCGCGGCACGTGATCCCGTTCCGGCCGAGCCGCGCGCCGTGGCGCGGCGCTTTTGCGACAGTGTCGTGCTGCATGCAAGATGGCGGCGGCGGTGGCGGCGGCAATGGGGCCGAGCGCGGGGCTGTCGGGAGCCTGTCCGGACTGGACCCACCAGGCGGAGACCACCGGGGTGAGGCGCGGCGCGGGCGGCGCCCCAGCCGCCTGCTCCTGCTCTGCCCGCGCCTCGGGCACCGGCTGCCGGCGCGCCCGCCCCGAGGAGCCCGCATGACTCGCGCCTGCCG